GCCTCTGTCCACTAATATTCATTGGCCAAAGCACCTTAGATGACCAAGCCCAAGGTTCAAGGGTAAACCAGTACAGGCACGGGAAGGAAAGAACACTTCTGAAAAGTCGTCGAATCGCCTTTGTCCTCGCTGGACGCCGTGTCACGGCTCCCCCCGCCCCATCCAGGGGCAGACGTGGCGATTCCTGACCCACCCCGTCTCGTCTCTGCCCTCCCACGATGAACAAAGAGCACAAAGCATTGTTGTCGGTTCCTCTCAACACGCCGCGGTCTCTGCCACCTCGGGGCCCCAGACCTCGGAGCCCAGGCTGCTTTTGACGATCAGAAACCTCTTCTCCGGGAACGTGACGACTTCCCACCCGGCCCATGCTTCACCAGCTCCGTCAGACCATCCCGCTGAGGACGGTCCTCCAGACGCGCCCTGTGTCCCACACGAAAGCTGATCGCGATCTGATCACTCGTTCTGAGTGAACGCTTTGAGCGTCACTGTTCAGGAGGGGTGTGTGGAGGGACAATTTTTCTGTTAGAATCCTCTGACCAAAGATAGATTTCCTCATCTTGCAGCCATAAAACACCCGTAAGTAGTAATCCTGTGCGTGTAATGAGTTGTACATCACCTGTCAAGTGTGTAAAGTGCTTCAGCTCACAGCAGCTTGGAGTCTTCAGAGAACCCAACAGAGACCAGGCTCCCTTGACCACTGTCAGGATTCCGACGTCCAGAATGGGAGGAGCTGGCAACAGAGACACAGGAAGATCTGGTGGCCCACCACTCCCTCCCCTTTCTCCTGGCCAGAGCCAGTCCCAGGCTCCAACCCAAAGGGAAGGCCAAAGGGCAGGGACTCCGGCAGGAGAGGTGAAGCACTGCCTGAGCTCGGGGCCCCCCAGGCCTCACAGAGGGGCGGCGTCCCTGTTGGGGAAGGTGCAGGGCCTGCCCTGGGGCGCAGTGGGAGGTAGGGGCACCAGTAGGGATGACTCTAGCAAACCTCTTGGAGGACCACGTTGGGGATCAGAATTGGCCGCTCCAAAATGTATCTCTTTGGCTTGATTAATTTTAAGAACAGAAGACTCTGAAAGAAACTTTGACCTCCCCCACTAACTGCATAAAAGAAATTTAAGATAAAGGCCCGTCCCCAGGACAGGCCATCAGCATAGGTAACTCTGGGCACGGTAGACTGGGAGGGTCCTTGCTAAGCCCACTCTGGTCTACCAAACAGTTGCTTTTCCATCTCTGTGTGGACTGCCTCCTTCCCTTTGAAGCCCCAAACCAGCACCCCGACATCCTCCTCTGTCTTTAGCTGAGGATGGTATTCAAGATGAGAGCCTCTGTCATTTTGGCGAGTTGCTCAGTTTTCCTGGGTCTCTCCCATGCATACATGTTATAAAGCCTTGTTTGATTCTCTCCTGCTGTTCTGTCTCATGTCAATTTAATTTGTAGCCCGGCCAGAAGGACCTGAGGTGGGAGAGGATAAGTCTTCCTCCCTTACCAACATTATCTGACCCAGCACCAGCCACACTTTCCTGTAAAGGGCCAGACGGGAAACAGAGAAAATGAGGGCAGGTGATGCTCAAGGGGCAGAATGGGAGCTTCCACAGATTTTTAGAGAGAAAGAAAAAAAAAAGAGAAATTAACACCGGGAGCTTTTCCCTGCTGGAATTTCTAAGGGAAGTACACACAGAAGAAGGGTCCTGGGTGGAGAGGCAGAGTTTGAAATACTGCAAGTATGGTGAGTAACGGAAATGAACACTAGATGTGACGCTGGATAATGACTGTGTAATGATAGTGATACCCGAGGAGGAAACACAAACGAACCAGCACCAAGGGCTGTACATGAAGAGCCAAGGAGCCAGAGGGCAAGGAGTGGAATTAATAATTAACAATTTAGAAAGGAGGTGGAGATATTAATTGATTTAGTTTAATAAAGAAAACACACAGGTTAAAAGTGTGGGTGACGAGTAAAAGGAGACACACAGAATGCACGTCCCACACACGAGGAGAGGAGGAACACGACTGAAGATTCTCCAGGAGACAAGAATGTAAGGTGCGACAATTTTGTGAAAAGCACACACACACACACATCTTCCTGGATATGTTTAAAATGCCGCTGGAAGCTTCTTAAAAAGCAGACTTGCCTATGGGGAGGAGAACTGGGAAATCCACACGCGAGTGGCAGCTGTCAGAGGAAGAGTCACATTCATTTCAACTCATAGCACAAGTCTTCCTAGTAAAAACAAATTTAACATCAAAATTCTAAAATAGTCCAAAGTTTAGCTGACAATTAGAGGAGAAGGAGAGAAAACAGGTTTAGGCAAGACTTTCCTTTAGGATGGGAACTGCTCGAGTGTGTTTAAGGTGCTGGACGAAGCCAGGGGCAAGGGAGGCACATCTGACGGGGGAGGTGGCAGGGTGCAGGGCCAGCACCGGCTGCGTGGGCCTCTTGCTGTTTCCAGCTGGAGCTCCTTCTGTACCAGTTTGTAAATATTTGGAATATTTTTACATCTTTGGAACAGCCCCCAGAGGCTCTGGGCTTTGACAGGATGGAGACCCAGAAGGTGGCGCAGACACACCAAGATGGGTTTAGGGAGGAAGCTGGCCAGGGCTTAGATGGAAAGGAGGCCATGCCGAGCTTTGTCACCGCGTGGCCTGAGCACAGGAGAGCGTCTCTTTGGGACTTGAGGAGCGTGGGCATGCTGGACCTCCTGTCACACCTGTGAAATGTCAGGAGGCCTCGGGCGGGAACTGTCATCATAAAGTCGTCTTGTTTGTACATTATTTCATCCTCCTCCCACCTGAACTCACTCCTTCCTCCACTCATGGACTGTCAAGGGACAAATTGTTTTTACAAAATTAGCAGACACCTGAACACATGGTGAAGATGACTCCAGTCGGTTCTCAGAAGATGCACCTGCTCACTTTTGCTTATCGAGTTTCTCCTGAGGCCCAGCTCTTCCTAAGGCAGAAATTAACAGCAAATCCACTGAAACCAACATGCACGGGATGTGGCAGGCATGATTCACGGTTTAGTCAATTTTAAATAGACAGAGAGTCAAACCCAGAGTAATTCAGCTGCCATCACCTCCCAAAGGCTCCTCTCTGCAGGAACCATCCTTGTCAGCAGCAGCTCCCCAAGATGCCCCCATTTGCACTTCTCGTGCATCACCCCACCACTGCCCAGATCTGGACACAGGCAGGTGTACTGGAGCGGGACCGGCTCTGAGCAGGAGGAGGGCTCCCCGTCCCCCACGTCTACCGTCAGGTCCCTTCTGTCCGTGTTAATGAGTGACCACCACGTCGGCCAGGTCAAACCCATTCTGCTCTTTGCAATGGTTGTTCTCAGTGCGAGCTCTGGGCAAAGGCAGGGCTCCAGCAATGTGTGTCCCTGCTGTCATGGTCATTCCTGCCATCTGCCACGTGAGACCAACAATGTGGACAGAGGGAGGTGATCCATGCCATCAGCCCTGCAGCTGGTTCCTGGTGTTTGTGGGGCTCCCACATCCTGTAGGAGGTGACATGGGGATAAAGGACATGTGAGAAGTGGCCCTGCCATCTGAGAGCCTGTGGTCTGGCTGCAGAGCCAGGGACCCACACGTGTGACCTTGCAGTTCAGAGTAATGTGGGCCGGAGCAGATCCAGTGCCCAGGGCCCTCGGGGCCACCACAGACACCGACACCGTCTTAAGGACAAAGGAAACTATCCACAGCTCTCAGGGTTCACAGACCTGCTGGGAACCTAGGAACCAGGTCACTCCCAGGAGGCCAGCAGCAGGGACCCCACAGAGGTCACACCCAGGCAGCCCTCCCCATGCACCACACTCACTGCCACGTGACACCTCCAGCTCTGTCTCTCTCACTTGAGCTCCTAAATCCCACAGCAAGACCCGGTTGGCCAAGCCCAGAGCATCTTCCCAACCCCCGGGGACAAGGCGTGGAGGAGCCTCATTTCTACAAACAGCCAGTGAGGTCCCCGTGATCAGATTAACACACAGCATTTACCTGCCCCTGTCCAGGCACACTCTGTGGTTGCTGGTCTTAACCTGTCGTAAACGATAGTCCAATGAGCGTTTATTCATATATATCGATATATGTATGTATAGCACAGGTACGGACGTATTTACTGAACTGGTTTCCAGAATCGAAGGCACCGTAGAGCAGGTAGATGGAAACAGGCCACGCCGAGTCGGGAGGCGCTTTACAGGCTGAGTGGCAGCAGCTCTGACAACACAGTCCTTCCTTCACAGGGACCACGTCCTGTGGGAGTGAGGAGGGGTGTTCTGGGGGCGATGCCTCCTTCTGATGGAACTGCAAACGGGTCTGCAGCTGACAAAGGCGAAACTGGAGCCCTGGCCCTTCCTGGCTTCAGGGAACGTTCTGGAAGCCAGGACCCTATCTTTTCCAGAAGAGTAGAGAAAAAACATGAAAGCTGGTCGTGGGCATTTGTTTCCTTCCTGTGTCCGTGTGAGGCAAGGGCCCTGGCTACTGGATCCAGGGCAGATCTCATCTCACTCCAAGCTCAGAGGCCCGAGAAGAACTGATGGAAACGAGACTCCTCTCCATGGCTCAGCAGGCCGAGCTGGGGCTCCTCCTCGCCAGCTCCCGACCAGCTGCTGGAGCCTCACCGGGCGCTTCAGGCTGGAGCCAGGAGGGCAAGCAGCGAGGGAGACGTCACAGGAGAAAGGAAGCACCCAGAGACCAAACAGGAGCGACGTGAACAGTTAACTGGCACCTGTCAGTCAATAGATATTCACTAGGTCCCTGTGCGGACACTGCCCCTCCACATGTGGGGACAACACGACACAGAGACACCCACATCCAGACCCTTGGTGGACACGCATTCCGTTTGTGGGCTGGTGGATCGGTAGGATGTCATGTTGTATGAGTTGGAATATTATTTCCAGGGATGGAGTGAGGAGGTGAGAGAAGATCGTACACTGTCTGTCAGTCTGGGTTTTTTTGTGAGGAACATTGTCAGTGTGCTAACGTCTGTGCCCATCTTCCTCTATTCTATGTGGGACAGCACCATAGCATGCCTTGATGAGCAGTGCTAGGTCTACACCTGTGATTTGAACCTGTGAACCCCAGGCTGCCAAAGCAGAGTGCGCTAACTTAACCACTACGCCACCGGCCAGCTCCCTCACTCTCTGCCACTCTTGTAACAAACATCGCAGTAGATAAGAGACATTCTGCCTTCAGACAAGTGTTGATTATCTTGCTTTGTTTCCATGTTAAAAATTAATTTTATTTATTTATTTATTTTATTTTTTGGTGAGGAAGATTAGCCCTGAGCTAACATTCATGCCAATATTCCTCTATTTTATACATGGGATGCCGGCACAGCATGGATGATGAGCAGTGTGTAGGTCCACACCTGGGAAATGAACCCACGAATCCTGGGCCACCAAAGCAAAGCGTGCAAACTTAACCACTATGCCACCAGGCCAGCCCCTTAAAAATTAACTTAATAGCACAAGTGATACATGAACACATTCCTTGTCTACCACCTCCGGGAAGCTCCAGTGGGAATCGATATGTTACTTTTTAGTTACACAGCTGCGTGTAAGCACCTTCTCCTTGTGAATCTAATGCCTAACTAACACAGCTTTGACAATCTCCCTGTCAACTCTCGTGACCCATCACCTGCACCTGGAGGGAGGGCTTTGCTGATCTGTGCTGTGCTCACAAACACACACAGACGCACCCACAGACACACACGGCACGTGAAATACACAACTGAGGTCAACCTGCTGGACGTTTTGATCCAGGACCACCACCACTTCTTCCCCCTGACGAGGCCTCAAAGTCACCTCCCTGGCTGTGACCTTGTGCTGCAGTCTTGCCAGATGTCACCACTGGGGAAAGCCGGGTCACAGGCGCACAGGAGCCCTCTCTATTACAGCAGCTCACAACTCTACAGGCATCTCAAAATCAAACTCTCACCAGACAGAGAGAGAGAAGCTTCGTTGCCTCAAATACGTGCCTTGTCTCTTCGGGCCTGTCTCAGGCACAACCAGAATGTTGCACACCCCTGTAATAAGCATTGCTTCACAGATGGACATGTGACTGAAGCCAGCCCACTGGGCGACAAGGAACCTCAATTTTGAAACTTCTGTAGGAACTAGTGGAAGAGCCAAACACTTCCACTGGGGTTCCTGAGAGGCTACGGTGACACCACAGTGAGGAATGTCTGTCTGAGAATGCAGCTAATACAGAGAAAAGCAGAGTACTATGTGAAGAGAGAGAATCCTGAAGACCTCCTAGATCCAGCCATGCCTGAAGCTAATTACCCATAGATTAACCATCCATTATTTTAATTAACCATCCAAGTTATTTGCATCAACAAACATTTCTGTGTTTAAGCAAGTTTAGGGTTTCTGTCACTTATAATTGAAAATAAATTCTCATTACACTGTTGTATCTCCAGCACTTGCATGGAGGACAGTAAAGCCAAGGGGAGGAAAGAAACAGCATTCTGATGAGTTGATTTCCTAGATCAAGCTATGCCTGAAGCCAACATATATGAGGACCATTATCTTATGTGAGTCAACAAACTTTCCTTCTTAAGCCAGTTTGAGTTTGGATTTCTGCCACTTACCACTGAGAAAGTCCTGACTGTCCAGCTGTATCATGGCAGGTGATTGACACCCAGTCGGCACCAATGAACACTTGGTGGATAATTGAGGAATAAAAGAATGAATGAAAGTGAACATATGTGACAATCCCATGATGTACTCTTGCTGAGCACCCAAGAGGAGACAGACAAGGGCTCTGGGAGGACCTAGCAGATCTCGTCACTGCAGGACTGGTGACATGTAGAGCTGGGACTTCACAGAAGGGCTGGGTTTGCAGTGAGGACTCCAGGCCAGCCAACAGCATGAGCAAATGCCCTGGGGCCTGTGTGGAGGATGGCAGGGAGCCTGTGGGTGTGTGGGGATGGGGGGATAAAGCGGGAGGAGGTCGAGGCCTGAGTCCTGGTGAGGAGCATGTCTACACCACGGTCCAACCAGGGAAACAGGAGTCAGGGCAAGTGCACCAACCCAGGAAGGGTTAATGCAGGGGTCAGTGTGGAAAAGCTGAGAAGGCAACAGGGGCTTCTGAGGCAAAGATCAGCCAGCACAGACACCTGCCACCACCCCAGGGGTCAGAGTGACTGAGAGAGAGGTAGGGCTCCCTGAGCTTGGGCACTGGGGGAGCTGGAGCCATGGGGGAGATGCAGCCACTGCAGAGGTGGATCCAGGCAGGGGGTACTGTGGGCTCTCCGTTTGCCCACCCTCCACCACTGCCTCCCAGGGGCTGACCGAGGCGGAGCCCAGCTGCGGCAGGGCCTGGGAAACGCAGTGCATGGGGTCAGCCTGGGGAACAGAGGACACGAGGGGGAAGGAAAGGGTCTGAGGGCAAAGAGGCCCAGGGTGGGCAGAGCATCCTTCCAGAATGACCCTCCAGGGCAAACCCTGAGACTCCTGGAAGCCCTGATGGTGCTGCTCTGAAAACACCACTCTCAATGCAGGAGGCAGAGGGCCTTTAGAAACACAGCCAGCCTCCTGAGAGAGCAGCAAATGCAGTTAAATAATCAAAATTCAATCTCTTTCAGTCTAGACTTAATGAGACTTCATAGAATTATACATGGAAGTACAATATACTGCACAATGACTCTCTCTCAAACCTGATTTTCTCCCCTGTAATCGATTAGTAGGACAGACTTGCCTGGGTCTAAATGGTGTTTACGGCTGATCGTGGGCAGAAGCTGATGTACCCATCCTCTCTATGTCCGAGCCCCCTGCTGATGCACAAATGGCACAGCCGCGTCACCAACCTGGGGTCACAGCATGTGCAGGGCAAAGGCGTGCCCCGCCAGCACCCTGCCCAGGGTTCATGCGGGTCCCCACCGGCCCCAGCTCAAAAGCCACCAGCATTTGATCCATATTGATTTGCAGCCGTGTGGAGCTGAGCCAAGCAACTCCCCAGACAGAGGAGGAACAGGCGTTTCCTCTGGCCTGGAGCTGAGATTGCTCATTATAGGATCCCTTCTCCCCACCCTGGCCCCCATGGAAGGGGGCCCCCATTGAGGAAGCTCAGCTTCAGTTGTCGAGTCAGAGGAGGGGAGAAGCCAAAGTCCAGCAGGTGTGGCTCCTTCCTGTAGTTCTAGGGACACCCAGAGAAGCTTGGAAGTCACCCACCTCTGAGTGTCTGCAGTTCTGTGTTCTCTGTGTCTACACAAAGCTTCTGGTTGTACATGTGACCGTGTGTGTGTGCAAGCATGCCTGCATGCACACCCCCCAATCTGTGCTGGCGCCGCCCCCCCCCGCACCTCCTCCCACACAGTCCCTTCCCTGCCCCAGCCCCACTGGGGCCTTCTATCCTCTCACACACCAGGCTCAGCCCCAACTCGGGCTCTGGAACATTCTCTGCCAATCTCCAGCCAGGCCTGGGCCCAAACGCCACCTCCTCAGAGGGGCGTTCGCTGACCACCCCCTAAGACGGCCCCTCCCACCCCAGTCATTCCAGAAGGTCTCGCCCAAACCCAGGACCAGGATCACTGACACCACCGCGGGGACGGCTCACCACTGCCTCCCGCTTTCCGCACACGGTTATGAAATGTCTTCAGCGTTGGCAGACAACTCTTCACTCACCCAGACCGCGTGACCCGGCCCATCCGGCCAGACACTCCAGGGCATCTTCAGAGTAGACCCAGGGCTCCCCCGGAAGGAACGTTCTGGGATGAAGCTGATCCGGCTGGTGAGGCTGTTTGTGGTGTGAGCGCCTGTGTGCGCGGGTTCCTCACAAGGTCTAGCTCCAGTGCTTTCTGCTAGCCGCTCACAGTTCTCCGTGACCCAGCTTGTAAAAGGCATCGCTGTCGAGGGCACAACGCTCAACTCTCACACGAATGGCATCTTTAAATTAAAGGGCCCGACCCTGGGCCAACACGGACGCTGGAGGCGAGGCAGGTGCCGAGAGTGGGGAGGACGCCCCAGGATGGGGATGTGTCTCCCTCAGGTCAGAAGTTGAGAAGATGGGCCGTTTTCTGGATGAACCCCGGGGAGGCCCACAGGAGGGTGAGGGAAAGGCTGTTCTGTTTTCCCACGACTCAGTTCCCCATGTTCCAGGACCCGCCCGCTCTTAGGGAAGGAAGGCACAGCCCAGCCCGGTGCAGTCCCCCTGCTGCAGCCCGTTGGTCAGATGAGGAGCCCGAGGGGATCAGGGCTGGGCAGAGTGGAGGCCAGCACCTGGCCTCTCTCGGGGACGGGAGAGCCATCCTCTGGAGTCTGCTGGGTGCACTGGGGATGCCTGAGCTGGTTTGTCCCCAGGAAGGATACTGGGACTCTGGCAGGACATTTGCAGTGGGCGTGGAGGCAGCTCCCTCCCTCCCTCATGTGGGATAAGGGGACTGGTGTGGAGAGCTAGAGAGAGACGAAAAGGTGCCCCTGTGAACGCCTGGGGCAGTGCCCATCCCAGGGGCTCCAAGTGCTCCCTGCATTTGTCCACTCCGCCACTTGCTCTCTCACTGGGGACACTAAACGTGATGGCCATGTCTCAGGGCATGGAGGATGAAACAGGTGGGGAGGGGGAGAGGTGGGAGGGCAGAGCAGAGGCCACAGCTCACCCAGGTGAATGGAAGGTGAGTCTGGAATCAGGTGGGAGCAGAAGGATGGAAGCCAGGGATCAGGAACGGGAGAAGCTGAGGGCAGAGCTGTGGGGATGAGGCAGAAGTCAGAGGTAACCCAGTGTTGACTGAGGGAGCTGCTCATCAAAGCATAAAGGAGAAATCTCAGCCTCTAAAGCCAGGCTCTCCTTCTCTTTGTTAAGGGACTCTGAGGCTTCCATTAGGTTTCACAAAAATTACAAGGCTACCTTCGCACTCTTACCTCATTGTCTTCTGAGGGTTTATTCAAGTACCTAAATGCACTAACGCAACAGGAGTACGCAGGTTTGGGACCAGACCCATGACTCCTGGTCAGCCAGCACCGCCCTAGATGGGAGCAGAGGTGGCCAGGAACCTGAGAAGGGCTGAGCTGGCACGTGGTCAGGCTCCAGTCAGTGGGTGCAGGAGTGGGAAGTCAATGTGGGGAATTCACTATGTTGATCGAAGAACCTTCTACTAGTGATAAGGTACACAGTGGGATTCCCACACACCCTGATTCAATTACTAATTCTAAA